GGCAGGAGGGGACAGGAAAGCTGGTAATAGGGAGCCCAAGGTTGAGAAGGGAGAGTGTTGACATGTTGTGGGGTTGTTAACCATTATCATAAAACAGTATGTGTACTAGTTGTTTAATGAAAAACTATTTGTTCATCAACCTTCATCTCAAGTACAATAAAAAAAGTTAAAAAAAAAAAAAAATCCTCCTCTTTCCAAAAAGTCAAAAAAAACCCAAAAAACTGTGAATGCCGTCTTCCACTTTTGCTGCAGTTCAACAGTGTTGCCAGAGGCTCTTGAGTATGTAAAGCTGTTTGTACCTGCATGGAGTGCTACCAGATCGTTACATATTTTCAATTCTTGCATCTGTTGTTAAGGGCTTTTTTTTTGTCAGGCAGTTGCTTCTTTTTGCTTGCAGGGTCCTATGTACCTCTAGCAGCCCCTCTTTCCGTTCAGATTTTATAATTCCTAATCTGTTGTGAGTTTGGAGACCAGACCACAAAGATTGTTAGAATTACATTTGCACAAAAAGTCAGTAAGCCTGGGACCCTGTTGTGAGTAAAGCACATTAGTATAAGGACTGGGCTAGCCTAGTTCCAGTTATGTGAATAAGTAACTGCCAGAGAAGTAAAAGGATATTACGGGTATGCATGTTACATTTACCTTTATACTATATTTATTATGTTTCATTTATTCCTAAAGTAGTTACTGTTTCTTTTCCTTTTTTCCATAGGAGCTTCCATGTACCAGTCTCAAAAGTGAAGGTATGACTGGGAAAAGGTAGAAGGGAACTTTCTGGGGTGAGAGTAATGTTCTGTATCTTGATAGGGGTTTAGGTTATGCATTTGTCAGAATTCAGCAAAGGTCTACTTAAGATTTATGTATTCGTTGTATGTAAGTTTTACTTCAAAAGAAAAATAAAAGAACCATAAACTAAATTGTAGTTGATTCAATTCCCCTAAATTGAAATATTTAGGGGAAGTATAGTAATATGTGCAACTTAGTTTGAAATGTATAAAATAAATAAATTGATGGAAGGATAGGAGAATGACAGATATATGAAAAAGTAAGTATAGTAAATGTCAATGGTAGAATCTAGGTGATGGGTATTATTGTGAAATTGTTTCAACTTACTTAAATGCTTGAAATTTTTCATAATAAAATGTTGGGGAAAATGAAGGTAAATAGTATCTTAACACAGCAGACTTTTTACGCACTGGGTGTGATGCTTGGTCCCCTTAGGACTGCTGGATACCTGGACCAGGGACTCAGCCAGTAGCCTTCTTAACCTGAAGGCCTAGAATATTATTTATTCCTTTGTCCTTGATCGTGATTTCCCACTCTGTTCCTGCTCTGTTCTTGTTTTCCGAACTATCATCTAGCCTTTTGTTTATGTCATCTTAAAATCTCTTTGCAAAAGTGAGAGAGAATGAGTGTGTACAAAATAAGAGCCCTTATTCTGGCCTGGAAGAAAGCTGTATCAGTTAGGATGCTTCCAGCTGCAGGTAACAGAAAACCAAGGAAAAGTTAACTTCAAGAATAAGGGGAAGCCTGGAGGCAGAACAAATGCAGGTCTGGTTAATTTCAAGCTCAGTAGTTCCAGGACTCCAGTTCAGCTTCTCTGTGATCTTGGCTTTCCCTTCATGGCTGTCAGCTGGCTACAGCAACTCCACAACAACATCCCAGATTGTTGTCCTTACCCGACAATATCTAAAGGAAAGGGGGAGAGTCTTTGTCTTCTGTCTCTTTTTAAGAGCAAGGAAAACAGTCCCAGGAGGCCCTCAGTACACTTTGTGTCACAAGCTCCTGCCTAAACCGGTCACTAATAAGGGGAATGGAATTACCAGGACAGGCTAAACTAGTCAACGTTTACCCCTCGGGACTGAGGAGCACATGGATGTCCAATTTCTGAATAAAATTAGGATATGTTAGCCTGAAGAAGCTGGGGAGTGCCTGTTTGGGAGATAACCAGCAGTTATCTCCTGCAAAACTACTTTCAAAATTTTGGTTGTTAAAAAACAATTTGAAAAGATTACAAAAGTAATATACTTTTGAAGTAAAAAACATATAAAACAATATGAAGTAAAAAAATGAAAATATACCCTCATCCCATTTTTTTTCCCCTCCTAGTTCCATTCCCCTGAAGAAACTTCTGTCAGTAGTTTATTGGGTATGGTTGCAGATCTTTTTCTGTATTCATACAGACACATACATGTGCTAAGATAGTTTTCCCCCTAAAGTGAGGTTTATACTAACTAAGCATACTGTCTGCAACTTGGTCTTTTACCTCAATAATATATCAAGTGTACAACAATTTAAAATGATACTAATAAGACAGCAAAGACATTTTGCCACATCAGTGTGTTAGCTCTTCATCTTGCAGAGTATTCCATTGTGTGAATGTGCCATGATATAGTTCACCATTGCCCTGATGGTGGTCATTAGTTGTTTTCCAGTTTTTCCCATTACAAATAATGCGTAACCATCCTGTCCTACTTTGTAAAAAGTTTTTATGATGGAAAATTTCAATCATATGTGAAAGTAGACTAGTATAATGAACCCCGGCATACCCATCACTCATCATCAATAATTATCAACATTTCATCTGTATTGTTTCACCCATCCTTTTCCTACTTTTTATTTTTGCTGAAGTACTTAAAGCAAATCCCAGACATCATTTTACTCATAAATATTTCAGCATCTAGCCTACTTTTTTTAAAAATTGAAGTAAAATTCACATATAATAAAATTAACCTAAAGTGTATAATTCAGTGACGGTTAGTACATTCACAATGTAGTGCAACCATCACCTCTAGTTCCAAAACATTTTTATCACACCAAAAGGAAACTCCATATCCATTAAGCAGTCACTCCCCATTCCTCCCTCCTTGCAGCCCCTGGCAACCACTAATCTACTTTCTCTGTTGATCTACCTATTCTGGATATTTCATACAAGTGGAATCATACAATATGTACTCTTTTGTGTCTGGCTTATTTTATTTAGTATAATGTTTTCAAGATTCATCCATGCTGTAACATGTATCAGTACTTCATTTCTTTTTATGGCTGAATAACATTTCACTGTATGTGTATACCACATTTTGTTTATCCGTTCATCAGTTGATGGACATTTGGGTTGTTTCTATCTTTTGGCTGTTGTGAATAGCACTGCTATGAACATTTGTGCACAAGTTTTTGTTTGAACACCAATTTTCAATTCTTTTGGGTATATATATCTGGGAGTGGAATTGCTAGGTCTTATGGTAATTCTATGTTTACCTTTTTGAGGAACTGCCAAACATTTCTAAAGCAGCTGCACTATTTTACGTGGCTACTAGCAATGTACAAGGGTTCCAGTTTCTCCACATCTTCACCAACACTTGTTATTTTCCATTTTTTTTAAATCATAGCCATCCTAGTGGGTGTGAAGTGGTATCTCATTGTAGTTTTGATTTGCATTTCCCTAGTGACTAATGATGTTGAGCATCTTTTCATGTACTTTTTGGCCATCTGTATATCTTCTTTGGAGAAATGTCTATTCAAGTCCTTTTCCCATTTTTTAATTGGATTGTTTGAGTTGTAAGAGTTTTTTAAAATAATTTCTTGGTACGAGACCTGCATCAGATGTATGATTTGCAAATATTCTCTTCTATTCTGTGGGTTGTCTTTTCACTTTCTTGATATTGTCCTTTGATGCACAAAAGCTTTTAATTGTGATGAAGTCTAATTTATCTATTTTTTCTTTTGTTGCTTGTTCTTTTTATCACCCCAAAAGGAAACCCCATTCCATTAAGCAGTCACTCCCCATTCCTCCCTCCCTGCAGCCACTGACAACCACTAATCTACTTTCTGTCTCTATTGATTTACCTATTCTGGATATTTCATATAAATGAAATCATGCAATATATAGTCTTAGCCCATTTTTGAAAGTATGTCTGTAGGAAGGATTCCTTAAAATAGAAAATTACCACTTAAAATTTTGGCAAATACTTATGTACTCTAAAAGTTTATGCTTCTATCCACTAAGTATGAGTGCATCTTTTTCTCCATACGTCTGCCCATACCATATATTAATCAATCTTTTCTATTTTTTTGACAATCTGACAGGTAAAAAATGATATTTTAATACACATCACATTATTACATTTGTATTTCTAAAGCATGTAGTCACTCAAATATTTGTTGAATGACTGTACATATCCTCGCCTTTTTTTTTTTTCTTTTTAATTGGCCACAGCAGATGCTACATTTATGTGTGACAAGCGGTGTAACAAGAAACGGTTGTGTGGACGACATAAATGTAACGAGATATGCTGTGTGGTAAGTGTGCCTATCATTAGATCCCATGCATTCAGGGCTGGGCTTCTGGAATGCAGCCCAGACTTAGAAATCATTGAGAGGGGCTCCTGAGCAGCAGTCAGAGAGCTATCATAGTCCCCACACCTGCTCAGCAGAGAGAGGCTGGGCCTTTTTTAGGCCTTAGCCAGATTGAGAAGTATCATCCAGTGGCAACATGGAGGAAGAGCAGAGGAAAGACAGAAGGCCTCAGGCCCCAGAGCCCATGACCACAGGTCCTCTGCAGGGGATTATGTGCTAGCCCAACATTTTTGAAAGGAGCAAGTTTCAGTTATCTGAAAGATTCACTTCTATGGAACCAAATAAAGGAAGCACTTTCTTGCTATTGCCCCTATGTTTATATATACACATACACTAGTTACTGTTATTTGAAAGTTTATATATCAACAGATTAGATGAAGAGTGGTGAAACTGTGCTGTATATCAAGACTTATAAACCAGTGTTTTAAGGCTTAAAGACATCACTCACTTTGGATTCAATTTTTTGGG